TTTTATAACATCAAACACTTGTAAAGCACACACTAGACTGAACACAGTCAGAAAAAACAACAACTGTATATTGTTAGGCTATTCTCATACTTGGATCAATGACAAAATGATAACCAATTTTCTATCTTCTACTCAAAATTGTTGCAAGTACCTGTTAGTAGCTGCTAGCTAGAGACAGTAGAAATTGTTAAAACTAGTCTCACACTAGGGTCAATGACACAGGCTAGCCAAAATAATGTTTTTTTTTTCTGAACATCACACTTCCTAAAATACTTTTTTCCTCTAAACAGCTGACCCAAAAAATAATTTTAAGAACTGTAAAATGCAGTGCTCCTCAAGGCCAGGATTTAGGAATTACTCGAGTGTGTCTAAGGTATTCAGGAAAAAAAAACCTTAAACACACCCGGGCAGTCCCTAAATCCTCGACTGGTAGGAGGTCCTTGAGTACTGGGTTGAGAACCCCTGTCCTAGACTGTTAGGTGTGCCTTGAGGAGAGGGTTGAGGAGCACTGAAATAATGGAATACTAGTCTCACTCTAGGATCACTGACAACATGCCTGTTAATCTCAAATCTGCAACTAAATGTTGTTGTTTTTAAGTGCTCCTGTCAGTAACTGCTAGCCAAATAGAACATAAACCTAGTCTCACACTAGAATCAATAACATTGGCTTTCTCATTCTCCCACTCCCACGCATGCACATCCTGGGTAAACACACTGTATCACTGCTAATCAATCTCTTAGGAATTGTAGTTTGGTCCAAAATTAATCTCCAAGTTTAATGAGTATGATGAGCCAGAATAATTAGAAAAGAAGAGTGGCACACAGTCCTCAGTCCAGGATTTTCTCTGGTAAATAGTGTGCACTTGCTTCCTGCATCTTATCTACCTCGTCAAAGTTCATCTCTACCTGCTTTAGAATCAGTTGGACCCCTCATCATCTGCTGAATCTAAAATAATGTCCCTCTTGCTTGATTGCTACTATCAGTGTGTCACGATTCCGGGAACCCAACACGCTGGCACACACACACACACACAAAAGGTGCCATACCGGACCTTAGAGTGGCCGGGCTAAGCACACACAGAATAGTCAGGAAACAAGCCGAGTAAGGGGAACCAGAAGACAGAATAACGTGAAACAAGCCGAGGTCAAAGGGTAGGAGAAAGTCACAGAGTCAGATAAACAAGCCAGAGAGTACGTAACCAGAAGCACAAGGTAAGCAG